TCTACCTCTATTGTACTACCACGTCTAGGTGTGGTCACCCCCTGATACCCTCCCCATGGCCCTGACCTGACCACTCACCTACACTGTAACCCCCATCTGTCACTAGTATTGGCGACCACTCTTTACTTTTCCATTGCTCTACCCCTAACTGGCCACCCACACACACAACATTACTGTTTTCTTTCGTCACCAACATCGGCGACTCCACTCGACACCAATCTAACAACTCGCAGGCATCACCACTATCGGTGATCGACTTACCATTTCTAAGTGACGATAACCAGTATTGGCGTCCCTCCCCCCCTAACCAACGCTATTGTCACTACACCCTGTCCATAATCCATATGCCCCACATACATGCATACTTAACCCACACGTCTGTCATTGCAACTTCAGTTATTACCAAACAATCAACCTTACCATGCAGTTCTTCAATCTATAAGCATATTTAAATAATAGACCCCAATACACACCCACACAAACACACCTACACACAAAACACACCTACTCAAACACACATACACACCAAACGCACCTACACAAACACATATCCACACCAAATACTCACACACGCAACTCCTACATGCACACGCTCACTGCTCCCTAACTTTCATCCCAATCCCCTTTTTTCCTTCCACTCACCTCACCCTGCATTTCACCTATCACTGTCACTCCTCCCAACCGTTTCACTTTCTGTCCCTCTCGGCTCTTCTCTTTGTGTCCCTCGGCTCCCTGCACCCTTCTCTCTATCATCATCAACCTCTCACAGCACACCGTCTCTCCTCCCATGGATTCTCTTACACCTATTCACCCACTGTCCCCAATTCTCTAACCGTAACCGATACCTTATCTTTTCTCTCTCATTTCTCACTTCCTCTACTTCCTTTTCTCTCCTTCCTCTCACTGTAACCGAAACCTTGCCTTCACTCTCCCATTTCTCATTTCCTCTACTTCCTGTTCTAGTTCATCACTCTGTCCCGACGACACCTCTCCATACCTATCGGTCTCTTCCCTGCGGCTTCCTCCATCTCTCTTCACTCACAACATCAACCGACTGTTCCACCACCCGCGATCTCCCTCCGCTTTCTGATTTCATCAATCACTACTTCCAAATTTTCATTTCTTTTACTGTTTATATCTTCCTTCAATATTTACATAAACAAATTCATATTTCATCATCCTATATTCAATATTTAATTCACCATACCTTCGGTCTCCATTTTTTCGCACTTCTGTAGCTCGCACCGTCGACTTCCTCCTTCTCCCGCTCGCTCTTCTCGTTCCTTCCCTCTCCGACTTCCCTGTCTCTCGAATCTTCCATCACCAACTTCCTTCTTCCCTTTCCTGTTCTCCTTTTTTCTTTCCTCTGTTTTTCTTTCCTTTTTCCCTTTAATCCTTTTCCTTTTTTTTTCTTCTTTTCCTTTCCTTTTTATACTCCACCTACCACGCATCCTGACCGTCTATCCCCTCTCCCCATCTGCACGCATCCTAGCCGTCCATTTCTTTTCCACTAATCTAATCTACACTCTCCATTTCACTATTCCCTCTCTTATTTTATTCATTTATTTGTTTCTTTATATATATATATATACACATATATCTCTCTCTTTCTCAATTATTATATCTTATATGCAATCATCTTCTTCCCACACGTAAACCAAACAAAATATTAAGAATTTTTTTTTTTCTTTTCTCAATTTTGTAATGAGGCAAGGTAAACATTTTCCCTTTTTGGCTCCCCGTTTCTCTACTAACTTTATCCAAACACAAAGAAGATCTTTTTAATGGTGGTTTTTATAAGCAATTTTATCTGTCATGCAATCATTATTTTTCTTCTATCTTGGCTGACAATTGTTCTCCCTACTTGAAAGAATAGAGCAAAAGGGCAGAAAGGATTTGATAGACTGATGGTTTTAGATTTTTAGTGCTCAAAAACTTATTCTTGGATATAAGAAATCAATTAAGTTACTAATCTAAGTTTGTGTAACTGTTCTTGAGAAATTTCTTAAATGTGCTGGAATTGTTGATATTTTTTAAATGTATCAAGTTTGTCACCAACATGCTTTACTTCCTGAAGATAAAAACCGCAACTGAAATGTCGGTTGCTTAAATAGTTAATGCCATTTTATTTATTCTTTCCATCACCATGATTACATGTCTGTAGGAGCAAGGAAGTTCGATGTGATGAATGGTGCTTCTAGCAATTTACGAGCAGCTTTCTCCTATTGTGTACAACAAGTGCGAAACTATGACTACCATCACTACCTCTGCCTCCTTGAACTTCCACCTAACATGCGGAAGGCTGCATTTGCACTTCGTGCCTTCAATGTTGAAACTGCCAGAGCAATGGATGTTGCTTCTGATCCCAGAATTGGTCTCATGCGCCTAGCATGGTGGCAAGATGCGATTGACAAAATCTTTTCTGGTAAACTAATAGAGCATCCAATAGCTAATGCTCTTTCCTCAGTAATCTCTGAGTGTAAAATTAGCAAGGTGTGGCTGAAACGGTCCGTTGAAGCTCGAATCAAAGACGCAAAGAGGGAGGTTGTTGACATACCTGAAACTATTGGCGAGTTGGAGAAGTATGCTGAAGACACTGTATCAACTCTTCTTTACATGACGCTTCAAGCGGGTGGAATCAAGTCAACCACAGCTGATCATGCATCTTCTCATATTGGTAAGGCTAGCGGTCTTCTTTTACTGCTCAAATCACTGCCATACCATGCAAGCCGCAATCGGCACTTCTCTTACATACCATTTGAAGTGGCAACGAAGCATGGATTGGTTGTTAAGGAAGGAGATCGATCAGAAATTTGCCTAGACTCTCGTGAGGGGTTATGTGATGCAGTTTTTGAAATGGCATCTGTAGCTAATACCCATTTAGTAAAAGCACGTGAGCTAGCAAGCACTGTCCCTGCTGAGGCTCATCCAGTGCTTTTGTCGTCGGTGCCTGCACAGGTGCTCCTGGACTCCCTAAGTAGGGTACAGTTTGATGTGTTTGATCCAAGGTTAGCCAGAGGGGTTTTGGGTATTTCTCCATTGTGGTACCAACTGAAACTCAAGTGGTATTCATGGAATGGGAAATATTGAAATCTTATTTTCTAATTTAGACAACCATTTTTCATGAGGTGAAGTAAAACAAGAGATATGAGTGGTTTCAGTATTTTTGATTTGTTGCTAGGGATTTGGCTAATAATATATATATATATATATTGTTAATTATAAAAACATGATTTCAACTTGTGAAATTTTACAATAAAATGACTGATTTTTTTTTTTGTTATTTTGATATCTTATGCTTTATCTTTTTCTTATATATATACTTTGATTATTTTAATATTTATAATTATTTTTATCAAGTATAAAAATTTTTATTTTCAAGATAATTGAATTCTTTTTATAATTATTTTTATTAAATATATGAATACTAACTACACCAAATGAACACTTCTAATAATGCTTTTGAAAAAGTTGTAAGCTCATATACTTTTTGAACAGGTTAAAACTTCAATTTATTTTACAACAATTTTTTTTTTTAAATGAGTTAAAAGTTAATTCCTTCTAACTATTTCTAATTAAATAAATTTAACAATAGTGGAATTTGTTTTTTTTTGTTGCTTTTAACAAATTAAAAGTCAAACTCTATCCTCGTTTATTTTTTGTTAATTTATCTTTTAAACTAATCAAATTATATTATCTATACAATAATTTTAATTTAATGACTACAATTGATATATTAGTTTAAAATAATGAAATTATCATTTATATTAAATTTGATGGGATTTATAAATTAATTCAATTAATAAGTTTAATTTGTTTAATAAAAAATGTTAGGCTTGATTTTGAATCTATTATGACTATTTTAATTAAGAAAAAATAATTATTATTTAATGTTGTTTTTTTAATCTGAAAATATAATAAAATTTAGTCAAACTTAATGTACTTGATAGATTAATAAATTTATTTATTTTTTATTTTTTGCATAAAATAAGTTGAGTTTATACAAATACTTAAACGGCTCATGCATATAAAAACTATATTTTATAAGTCACTACAAGATAGGTAAGCCGACCACCGTATTCTCTTCTTCTACAAGTCGAAATTGCAAATTGAGCCCGTTGAAGTCTTCAGCCCGTGCACGCATTATCCAAGCCCAGATCGTTCGACACAGTTGCTGTACATGCAATCGGGTGAGCGAGCAGGAAATGAGAGCAGTTTCGGTTTGGAGTTCCATTTGCGGAAGCAAGGGGCTAGGGTTTACAAGAGTCTCATTTCCTGGTGCAGATAAAAAATAAAGCTAGCGGGATTAGCATCCAGGAATCCTGAAAATCGACAGTGAGCATACAGGGAGCCGCGCAAAGAGCGAGCTGAGGGAAAAAAATCAGAGGGAGACAGGAAATCGAGAAAAATCTGGAGGCTGAAAATAGCGAGAGCAGGAGAAATCAAGGGGTTTCAGAGAGAGTCTGAAATCAGAGAATCAAGGGAGTGTTTTCAAAGAGAAGAAGGAACAGAAAAGAATCAAAACAGGAAGGGAGGGGGAAGCAGACGATTTCGCAAAGCTACTCAAAGCGAAGAGGGGCTCCGATTTAATACGTAGGTAAGGATTCTGATAACTCAAAGTTTGTAATTGTTCAAAATTTGCTTACATTGTGAATGCAGTTTGTAATAGCTAATATGAATGGAGAGTAAATATATATTTTTCGGAATCTGGTGAATGATACGGCTAGATTTGCAATGTTTTCATCTATTGCCCGAGTCTTTAGGTTCAAATAAAATGTTGGGTTGTAATCTTAGATCATTGCATCTGTAGATACTCTCTCAGATGTTTTATGCTAATTACTTTTGTCGTTGTTGTCGGATACAATCATTGTCCAAGGAATATGGATGGTTAAACTTTTAGTTGTTTGATTTACAGCTTTAAGTTAGTGATTTTTCCTCTTTTGATTTAATTCTGTTCACTTTCTGCTCAAAATACAAGCAATGTGCTTTTGAAGGGTCTTTTGGTTTTGGGTTCTGAACATTAAGGGAGGAACTATTTCAAAGATGTTTTCTTTATCTTTGACGTTGGGCAGGAATTGAGAAACTTCTTATGTGGTAATCTGTTCAATATTGTAGATTCTTTTCTCACCTGCCTGTTTGTTCAATCTTATAGATGTTTTCTTTTAGTTGTTTGTTTAAGATTTTGGTTGTATTGCTTAACCAAAAATATTGGGAAAATTTTCAAAAAGCCTTTATTAAATATTGACTTTTGATCAAAAGTGAGATTACACAAGTATTTAGTATTTATAGTGCTTCTTAAGTAACTTTTCTCAAGAAAGCACTACCACTAGTATTAATTGAAAATACTACTACCAAGAAAAACATAAATTGTAATCCTAAATGACTAAATTCCTAAAAAATAAAGCCTGGATATAATCCTAATCTTAGCCGTACTATTACAAAAACTTGTAGATTAGCTAGAAATACAATTCCACATCTATTAAGAAAACCTAGTTCATATCCATTCTCCATGATGATTTTCATCATCGAGCTTTGTTTGGTAGAGGGGGAGAGAGGGTTAAATAACTGAATAGAACAAAATGGAACATCAAAGAATGGACTGATAGATATATATACATATATATTTGGTGGATATGATAGTAATTTAAATGAGAATGACAACATTTAACTTTGTTTGGTTAGGAGGTGGAAGAAGGATAAAGCAAAGATTAAGTTTTGCAAGACGATAATACCATTATAAAGAGAGGAGAGGTGGATAGAGTTAGAGTTGGGGTTAAGTTCTCAAAAAGAAAGAGAACAATTTTGTTCCCAAAACCAAAATGTTTTTTACTCTTTTGTTGCTCTTCTATCCATTCTCCCCCAGTTTGTGGAGGAGATTTCTGACATGTTGGTGGGCAGTGACAGTGAAATATTCCCCTTCATTGGCCTTCCAACCACTAAAATGTCTCCCTTAAATTTTTGTCCTTGTAAATTTTCTATTTCATCCCTTTCCCTCTTCCAAATATAGCATTGTAACAGATGACCTGTATTGCTGTGGGTTAGTGAGGCTACTTGTTTCATGTTTACACCTAGTATAAGCTGAAATTTCTGATTCCTTGGCCTTGGATCTTGGATTTTTTTCTTATGTTTATTTTCTTTTGGGTTCGACAGCAAAGCTGGCATAAAATTATCTGCACAATGTTAAGGCAAGGCATAAGTTGTAGAATACAGGCTATGGTCATCTTGGGTTGCCTGGTTTCTGGTGACTGGACAACACCAGGTTTTAACTAACCTGCATATTATCATTTAGATTTGACAAAAAGTTGAAAATTACTTGGGCAGAGATGAGTAATGGGCTAGGGGCCTCACTGATGATGATGCAGATTTTCTTGTGGCTAGGGGGTAAACTATTACATATTAAAGATAGGATATATATAGACATGACATGCTGGATAAATAGAAGAAGTATCAATCAACAGCTTTTAGACATTTCATGAAATGATCCACTTGGTTCAATTCCTATTGACTTTCTTTACCTTAAAACTAGAATGTTGTTGATATGTACAATTAAATCATATTATGTGCGAACCAATTTCTTTTGTAGCTAAAATTATTTGGAGATGGATTTCTAATTCTCACCCAGTTATGGCAGAATAAAATTCATCTCCAAGGAATTCAGGAAGTAGAATAGATATAAATATGAAAAAAATATGGTTTAATTCTAAATATATAAGAGTATCCTGGTAATGAAGTAAAAGAATATGATAGTTTTTTCTATTAGAAAAAAAAAAAAGAACATGATAGATTGGAATTGATCAAGCTGGAGGAGAATTACACCAAATTGGCTGTTAGGGGTTTTTTAGTGAGATGCCATCTATCTTGATTATTTTCTTCTTTGGTTGGCAACAAAGAAAAGGCTGGCTCTTTAATTGTTGACAAGTTGAGTTTAGGGTTTATTAAAATTATAGATTGCCAAATAATGTAAACTACCATGTGCCATTTAAAGTTCAGTCAGATTTCTCAGCTCCTCTTTAAAAATCATTCTGTACGTATAATCTATGAGTTTAATGAAACTTTCTTGTGCTGAACGTCTTACAATCTCTGCGTGGCATGTTTATGTTCTCTAGCTCGATAATCAATTTCTTTTTTTCTTTTTAGTTTTGTTACTTCTAAGTAAGGGCCCTGATCAAAGAATTCCTTTGTCGTATTAGATAAGAAGTAACTTAGATTGGTTGTTGCTGATATTCGAAATTATGTAAAAATACATTGATTGCTTTCTTATATAGTAAAACTTATTCTATAAACTTCTTCAGGTATTCTATCTGGGGATTTCTGCATTATGGATGAATTTTCAATTCAGATTAGTTCTAACCTTATCAATCGACTGACTGATAATGGTGAAAAGATGAAGAAGAAAACAAAGAAAACTAGACCTAGGATACTGCAGGAACCTCAACGTCCCCAAACTAAGGGAGATCAGAAGCAAATAACTGATGAGTCTGGAAGACACAAGGGGAATGGTAATTCAGGCTGGCCAATTCAGCCTCCCTTATTCCTGCCACCAACCCCACCCGTGCAACCTGCATATACTGAGCTGGATGCAGTTCAGACTGTCCTTAAAGAAAGTGAGAGGATTTTGGAAAAGCTGCAGAAGCAGGAAGAAAACATGGTGCAGGAAGTAACCGAAAGGGCCAAGGATCTCCGGGATAAGGAGTTCAATCTTCCGTCGCCTAAGCCAATGCCTTGTCTTGCTGAGAATAATGCTTGGATTGCTTGCTATAAGGAGAACCCTAATGACCCTCTGAAATGTGCCCATCTGACAAAAAATTTTGCTGATTGTGCTCGCCGAGTTAGGCAACTAGTAAATTCAGCTGACAAGTAGACTTTGCTACTGGAAAATTGGATTGCATACAAATCAAACTTTTAGAGTTAGCATTTCATGTGTTGACGACAAAATATGTTGTCTGAAAAATTTACTCGAACCAAACCCTAGGCATCCCCTTTCCCTGCAATTACCAGAATAAAGAGATGCTGCTGTTGAGTGATATTATTTGCAGACTGGTGATATGGTTCTGTGTACCTGTAATCAACTTTTTGAAAGATCATCCATTCCTAGTATGTCTGTGATATGTTAGTCTGCATTGAGTGCATTTTTTACATTTGCAAAATAGTTTAGTTTTATTATCAACTTAGGTTGCTCGGCCTCTCCTGGGGATGTTTTAATCTTACATCTGTTTAGCGAAACCAAGACATTCAACTAGGGTGTCGGCAGTTGAGACTATTTCTGCTTTGGCAATAATCACTAACTTATTTGAACGGTGTAGCCATCTGCTGAATTGAATTATGATTATCTAACAATTAATTAAATTATAGTAGTTACAAATTAAAATTAAAATTAACCAATATATTTTAATTTTATTTTTTTATATGTTGATGAGTTATATATTTTAAAGTATTTATGAAGTAATAAATTAATATTTATTAATTAATTTAAGAATTTTACTAATTACAAATTAAAATAAAAACTAACCAATATATTTTAATTTCATTATTTTTATATGTTGATTTATTATATATTTTAAAATATTTATAAATTATGAATTAATATTTATTAATTAATCTAGAATCTTAAAAGTAAATAAAGTATACAAATTAATAACTGTGAAATTATATAACTAAATCACATAATCGTTTTATTACATAATGTAATTATTTTTTATATTATTTATTTTTGAACTGTAATTTTATAAAGTTGTGAATTAAAAGACACCAAAATTGAATTAGGAAAATTAATTCGCAACTAATGTAATGACTAAAAAAGGGGAAAAGAAAAAAAAAAGAGAAATTTGTTTGAAGAAACGACGCCGTTTTGAAGAGGGAAAAACGACGTCGTTTTGGGAGGGGGAGAACGACGTCGTTTTGGGAGGGGGAGAACGACGTCGTTTTGGGAGGGGGAGAACGACGTCGTTTTGGAAATGGAAAAATGACGTCGTTTTGGGTAAGTTAGTAGGATATGAATGGGGGTCGGGAAGGAAATGGAAGAGAAGAAAAAAAAAGAAGAGAAAAGCAGGGAAGGAAGAGAGCGGGAAGGAGGAAGCAAGAGAGGGAAGAAGGTTCCAGAAGAGAGAGGAG